GATATACAAGTGCCATCAATGATTGAATAAGGTATGTAAGCACAACAACGTGACTCTGCAATGGATTAAGGGACACAGTGGATCTAGAGGCAACGATGCAGCAGATGAACTGGCCAGAAGGGGATCGGCTATGGCGAGTATAGGGCCAGAACCTATAATACCAATCTCCTTTGGCTACGTTAATTCACTGGTACGTAGATACTTCAATAATTTACAAGCTCAGCTTTGGAAAAATTTTGTAGACTGTAGACAAGCTAGGGAGGCTCTGCCTGAAATAAACAGTCGTCTAACCAAGGTTCTAATAAGACTGAACAAGCCACAGATCAGGATAGTAACAAGTGCTATCACAGGACATGGCTCTTTTAACAAACGTTTGTTCACCATGGGTGTTACTGATAGCGCCCTGTGCAGGGCACGCATGGGAGGAAGAAACGGCGGCTCACGTGTTGCTGACATGTCCAGAAGTCGCTTTATACAGGGCTAAACATCTCTGCATGCCGGGATAGCTCCCCGAAGTTGCTTGCAACATCAAAAGACTGTTGAACTTCTTCGGGGAAATATCATAGCTCGAATAACCACATTATTCCTGCCCACACGCAAAATACGCGCTTAGACGTGGATTTGCGGAAAACAGCCCGTCGTAAACTAAACTAAAATGGTTGTAGCACATATGGGTCGGCTCCACCGGGTTGGGGCCACACTCTCACAGAATACCAGCGTTAATTGCAGCTTAATGCTGCTGTGTTTGGTATGATGAGTGTAGAGAATTGGAAACAAGGCATATATCTTGGTCCTCTGCATTTTTTTAACAATTCTAGTAAGGCTATTAATATTACTAATATTCCCTGTAACCACTCCTGGTAAGCTTAAAATGCTTGTGTCGGGAGTGGTCTGCAATAATAGACGAATTGCAGATTCGAACTCATAACCTTTTGATTTCGCACTCTTCACCCTACCATTAGGCTACTGTAGCTTTTTTTCACATTTGCATTTTGATTCTTGAAGGAGGGTAGATGTATATGTTTATGGGCCACAGCATCCAGTTACCATCAGGTGGACTGTGTGCTCGTTTGTCACCCTTATTCTATAAAAAAAGTATCTCTTTAATTGAAGTAGAACATCTTACTTTCTGCCATTGTAATAGATAGATGTTACTTTAAAAAAAAACTTAAATCTTTGATTTGATTGGCATTGTAGCTCTACATCACAACCTCTTAACTGTTCATATATTTAAGAACCACATAATAAAGTTTGCATTGGTATATGAGCTATTATTATTATATTGGTATATGAGCCTAAGAGTAATATAATCAATATAAAAAATAAAGATCAGCAGAAATTATGAATGCACATCTACAGAAAAGAAAAACACAGCTTGCCTTTTTGCATTACATTTAACACTACACCATCTGTCTATGACACTGCTTACCTATTATATATTTTTTTCTATCTAAGAAGGTATGGAACAATTAACATAAACATTTGTCAGAAAACATATCTTTCTATTGTTTACTGTGTTTTAGGTATAAGTATATAATTATAGAACATTATTTGTACATCATTATGATTTCTGAGATTAGATTATAATGCACTTGATGACTCAACTCCACCATTGAACAAATACCTACCAATACTTCAGAATACTATTCATAACTTTTAATAGAATGAACCAATTTTAAATTAAAAATGGAAAAAGAATTGATTTTAATAAAATCAATACTCAATCTAACTTGAATGTACATTTTATGATTTTCTAACGGATTCTTTTGTAAAATATTATTACTTTAGATGTGATGTGTTCATACACAAACAGACAGACAGATAATTCCTAAAAACAATAGAAATGTATTTAATTGCCTATTTTTGGTCCCTCTCACTCCATACACACATGAAATTTATAATTTTATTATAGTATGTTTAAAGATAGTTTAAACATACTACGATAAAATGATTTGTGAAATGATGGATTTTTCATTTAATTCATTCAGTCAACAATGAAAGAAATATGGAGCGCTGCATACATATCAAATGGCAAAAACCAATCCAAAGAAAAAGAACGATGTTTGCGTGAATGCCATCACTAGAAATGCATGCAGCGCTCCATCTAACTATCTTTGTTGGTGTTAGTTAATAAAATCACGGTCACGCGCACAAACACAATGCGGTTTAAGTGTATACGAAGGATTTTCGCAGAACAAGAGTGTTACACAAAATACACTAATACACCTAAGTAAATGTTACACTAAGCTATTTTAAACTTTAAACACTCTAAAACCAAAAAAGAAAGAAGCAAATAGTTTAATTTTGTACAACGATGTAGAATTTACCAGACGTCAAAAAATAAACAATGTTGTGTTGATTTTGTTGTGTATCCACCATGTTATTTCACACTAACTATGTCAACATTTACACTTACTTTTTACTTTAAGCTCGCCTTTGTTATAACAAATTACATCACCTAGTGATTTTGCTATAATGTAAACAATTATTAGCTTGTTACAAATAAACAGTAAACACGATTAACTGTGCAAAACACTTTTAATTTTAATAGCTTGTGAAAATTCCACTCGTAAGAAGTTGATAAGTAAATCCCCTCCCAAACCTCAGAATAGTGTGACCATCTTTAAAATAGGAGTGCTTGATATAAATCGATATTTAATAAAATATCGATATATACATTCGATTTATCGAACTGATCTGACATTATCGAATCATCCAATATATTAAATCCGATTAGATACAAAATTAAAAGTACACCATTTTCACATTTACTGTGGGTGCTGCTGACACAGCACACACGCTCTGAACATAATTTCGTTATATTATTATGAAATTGCCTAAGTTTGGCTAAGAATTCTAATTTCAAATTAATTTTATTTTAAATACATGGAATTCTTTTTTCAAAATTGGGCATTAGTTTATTAATTACCGTTATGTTTTTATTGCATTTGAATCATTTTCGTCATCATGGATACGTTAAAAATTCAAGTAGTTATGGAATATGAGTAGTGGCAGAAACGGGGCACAAGCGGCACGCAACATCAACGAACGACGTTTACGGAGTGAATACTACAAATGGACGCACCATCTGTTATTAGTATGCCCACTTCTGTTCTGGAAATTTCGACCTGAAAAATGAACTCAGTGGTCATCCGAAAACTTTGGTTGACAATGACGTATTGAAGGCAGTTGTGGAAGCTGATGATATTCAATCAACGGCTGAATTAGCAGCAGCTTTCTACGTTAGCATCAAAAAAATATTGTTAAATTCGCGTCAAAATTGCATGAACTGTGAACTCAATTATAACCAGCACAGCACAATTTTAATAAGTACGCGCCAAGACGTGCCTTGCAAAGTTCAACAGGCACACAAAAGAAGGAATTTTGAACCGCATTGTTACCTGTGACGAAAAGTGGATTCTGTTTGACAATCGCAAGTGCTCAGCAAGTTGGTTGGATCCTGGTTCAGCACCAAAACACTTCTCTAAACGAAAACTTATCCCTAGAAAAGTGATGGTCACTGTTTGGTGGTCTAGCGCCGGTGTGATTCCTCACAGCTTCTTACCAAACTGAATGAGCACTGCAGCTTACTGCTTACTGCAGATGTGTACTGTATAGAACTGAACACAATGATGGAGAAGTTCGCACGTCTCATACCAGCTTTGGGCAATCGCTCGTCCCTGGTGCTTCTGGACAACAACGTGCGATCTCATAATGCACAACAGATGGTTTTCAAGTTACAAGAGCTGGGGTTAGAAGCTCTCCGTCATCCGCCGTATTCATCAGACCTTGCGCCTACAAACTTTTATTTTTTCCAGAATTGGGATTACGTTGTGAAAAAATTCAATACCCTAGAGGTGGTACAAAATATCTTTGAATAATTGGATGGAATTTTCCCGTCTAGCTGATTACTTCAAGAAGGGCATCATTAAACTGCCATTTTTATCGATTGCATGAGTGATTACGTTGATTAATAGGGAAAAATACGTTAACTTCTTTCATAAAAAAACTGCAATTTCATAGGTTTTTATAGAAAAGAAATTAATTTTATTAGGAATTTATAAAAAAACCAATTCAGTTTTTTTTACGACAATGAAAAGTCTACTGTAGTACTTTTTTAAAGGTTCATGATTCTAACCCGAACTTAAAGGTTTTTGAAACTAGGCCAATATTATATAAAAAAACGAGTTGCCAATCGATCATTACATTAACTTAATCTTTGGTCGCCGGTATACCAGCTGAGAACCAGACTGAAATCCAGGATAAAAGCAAACTTAACAACAACTTTAAACATAAAAACAAAATTGATTCATTTCGTAACCCTGGAATTTTTTACTTATTTACTCGTATTAAACTGTTCGCACATTTTCTTTTTTACATCGAAATAAAAATTACAAGCGATATATCGAAAATATCGATATTATTGATCAATATCGCAAAGTATCGATACAATATTGCGATATATTATATCGAAAAAAATGTCGATACTTTTTGTACATGAACATCCCCACTTTAAAATACAGATCCTGCTTTAGCCTGAGCGCAGATTGCAGTCACAACAGTTTTAAGACAGACTATTGCTTTATAAAATATATGGAGACGCGCACACTTCAAACAAAACGTCTCACAGACAGAATTGTCTAATGCCTACAAGAACTGCTCGGGGACAAGTCTGACTAACGACCAGTTTATACAAAGGTACTCTGTGCTAACGACTGTCGGCTTCCCTTTTGTATGTATGCGGGCGCGCACATCAACAACAAAACAGTCTGACTACATAGTACATACCTCTTCTCTTCTAGTCTCGTCCGAGTGTTCAGAGAGTAAACACATCGCATCATGTTTACAGACGAAGAACTCGTCGAAAAACTAATTGACGAGGTTGAAAAGAGACCTGTACTTTTCAATAAATTATGTAAGGAATATTCTGATGTCAATTTAAAAAAAACAAATGGGACGAGGTCACAATGCAACTGGTCGGTATTGTGAGGTGGGGAGAAATGTCGACTGAGGAAAAAACAAATGCATGTAGGTATAAATAATCATAATTTCGTTTATTATGTATATTATTATGTACGCATATCTATATCTATATATACTTATTTAAATAAAAATGAATCGCCGAAATGTATGTACGCGTATAACTTTCGAACGACTGCACCAAATTGGATAATGGTAAATTCACAATGTAACGATTTCAGCTTTTTATCGCAGCTTTTTCACGTTGACAGCTATTGACATATCGAATAGCTGTCAAAGTTAAAAAAGCGCGATTAAAAGCTAAAATTATTGCATTGTGAATCCACCATAATTCTTTTTTTTTGTGTTCGTTATTGTCAGGAGAGGGTTTGTATGGTAGGTAGGTAGGTAGGTATAGGATAGGTATGTGTAGGGTCGGTTACCACGCCACACACCACGCGAACGATAGCTAGACTATTATCTATATTTTTTCATATTGCCATGGCAATGAACCTTGGGGGCTAACAAAATAACTACACAAATACTGTCTTATATCATTGCCAGATGACATAGCAGAGCTATTACTATTATAATCAGTCAGTGGACAATCGTAAACGGTATCTGTAAACTCTATTCCGTCATGAACACGAACGTAATTATGAAGAATACAACAGGCTTTGATTATACTGTCACAAAAGTCTCTGTTAACGTCTACAGGTCTGTGTAAAATGCGCCATTTATTGGCTAAGATGCCGAAAGTACATTCGACGAATCGGCGAGCTCTAGTAAGACGGTAATTAAATACTTTCTTAACTATGTTCAAATCTCTTTTAGCGTAAGGCCGCAATATGTTTTTGGATAATCCAAATGCTTCATCACCAATTACATAATATGGTAGAATCCGACCACTTACATCGCCTGGTAGCGTATTTCCTGATGGAATGTTCAAAGTCCCCTGTTCCAATCGTTTTCCCATATTAGAATTCTTAAAAATTGTAGAATCTGATGAGGATCCATATGTACCGATGTCTACAAATACGAATTTGTAATCAGCATCTACCCATGCCATCAATACCACAGAAAAATATTTTTTATAATTGAAATCTTCCGAGCCCGCATTATTAGGTTTTTCTATTCTGATGTGCTTTCCGTCTATGGCGCCAATAACGTTAGGAAAACCAGCTCTAATATTGAACTGTTTCGCTATTTTTATCCAATCCTCTTTTTCTTTTTCATATACAAAGGCTGTATAACACACCATAGCTTGTCGCAAGTCACCTTAATTATACTTCTCAATGTTGACGGTGCAATGAGATAGTCAAGTGAGAGGTCATAAAAACTTTGTTGTGCTGCCAAATATCTGTAACAAACAATATTATTTTTATCATTTCAGGTAAAGAAGTGCAAAAGCGCTGGCTAAATTTACGGAACTGTTTTTCTAGAGAATTAAGATTACAACGAGAGACCAAGTCGGGGCAAAGCGCCAAGAAAAGATGTACATATTTATACTTTGAACGGTTGATGTTTCTATTGCCTACCATTGATCCAAGGGAAACTGCAAGTAACATAAGTACTGAAAGCGATGATGGCGACGGTACTGAATCTTTAAATACCGAGCGAATGCGCCCTCCACGTCCTTTGCTTAACAATAATAAGGCATTTGAACAGTCTCTATTAAATATGTTGGAGAGGAATTTTAATGTTCAACAGAATGAAACAACTCTAAATGATGAAGATCGCAACTTTGCGTTGTCGCTGGTATCCATGCTGCAACGATTTAGTATTTATGATAAAATAGACGTAAAAGTGCAAATTTTAAATATATTTAAAGAAAAATGTGCCCCACAACATGATTTGCGCAAAATACGTATAATAAACCAGCAAATAATACCTCCAAAGCCAATGACCAATCCTGGGCGTGGACCACCGCCTGCGATCTCACCTGGACCTTCTCAAACACAAAATGCATTACCGGAAGACCGGATGCAGCCAACTCCATCACCTAGTACTTACGATACTAACGAGTCTGTCCAAAGCTATTACTCAAACTGCTTTGTAGATGATTATGAATAGGTACAATTGTTTTTTAATATAAAGGTCACAACCAAACGTTTGGATCCGCAATATTTTACAAGCAAATATGGAGTAAATAATTATGAATCGTACCAAAATCATATTTTCATAAAAAACTTTGTAGGTGCTATTGATTTTTGCTACCTGTTTTGTTATTATTACTGATGATTATCTGTTACTAAGCATTAAAATGATTATGGGTGATTAATAAAAATATTTATATTTTTTATATCTTTTTTACAAAGAATGCTATAAACATTACTAATATTCCTCTTAACCACTCGTGGTAAGCTTAAATTGCTTGTGTTACGAGTGGTTCACGCCAGTAGTCGAATGGCGGATTTGAACTCACGACCTTTATGAGTTCGCGGTCCGCGCCCTGCCGTTAGGCTACTGTCGCTAAACTAATAATTAATAAAAATAAAAACTGATTAAACGTGGTACCCACCGATTACCTATTGATTAAATGTACTACCTGCTACTACCTACTTTCAGTAGGTAAGTTTTACTTACCTCAACGTCACTGCTAGTCGCTCAGGAGCAGGTATAGCCTTGCGAAAATTCGAATCTTGATATGTAATGTAAGGCTCCATCAATTTCAATAAATTATCAAAAGTTGACACGTTCATTCGGAAATACTTGAAAAAATTCAGGGGGTGATGCCTTAATTTACTATACAGTGTATAAAATTTTCCTTTTATCAGTCTTTCACTATATATGGGTGTACCCAATATTTACGTTTGCGTCGTTTTGCAAGTGCAAGTGTAACTAGGATACTTATTACAACAGTATCGGTGAAGTCCATTTTGATACTGAAAATGAATTGACGCAGACGGCGCGCGGCGTGCGATGCGTCGTCGTAGACAAAACAGTTTTGTTTTAGATGTGCGGCGCATCGTAGACAAAAAAGTTTCGTTTTTATTTTAAAGCAGACTTGTCTATGTGAGGCAAGACTGTCTTAAAACTGTCGTGACTGCAATCTGCGCTCAGCCTTACTTTGGTTAAAAACCTTCCAAAACCAGCCAAAGTCTTTAGCGAAAAATGCCTAAATACTGCCAACTTTATTTACCACTGTATTCAGAGGCGGCCCTAGAGCGGCGCGAGCGGGGCGAACGCACCGGGCGCCGTCGTCGGGAGGGCGCCGAAATCAACCGAAACGCATCCATCGGACACTGGTCACCGACTCATATAACTAATGGTGGCCACACACGGTCAGTTAAAGTCATTAGTCGAACTGATATCAGTGCGAACAGATTTAAGCCAAAGAAATTTCCACACACACAGTCAATTCAACTGATCGTTAATATTTTTTAAAATATCGTATTTTTGATATATCGATAATTATAAATGTATCAATGTCGGAGTTTTATACATCGTAAGTTAATATACAGTAAGTCAATATCGGAGTTTTATAAATCGAAAAAAATATCGATATATCGACTTTATTTAAAAAAAAAAAAACAACCGTAAGTCATTTTAGTTTAGTTCATTTATTATATTTATTATGCAAATTAAATTATAAATGTACGAAAATGTTAGCTTATAGTTACTATTAATTATTGTTTAATTTAAATAAGAGGATTATGTGTACCAATATTTTTCCGTAAAAGGTTTCAAAAATTGTTTTATATGTTCTGCTGTTAAATATGTTTAGAAGCACAGGTGCTAAATTACAAAAGCGCATCCATTGGTTTACAGTATAACTCAATGATCGCATCACTTTTACGAATCAAAATCCACTTCAAACCATTGTTTAAGTGGAAATAAACCTCAAATCGCTTAGCAAAATCCTCCGTTATGCCGAAAGTATTGCAGCATTAATTTTGAAATAAATATAATATGGTAAAGTTGAGGATTAATGTTAAGGACTATGTTAGACGAAAACACGATTCCGTAAAATTTTCTCGATAGAAAAAAAATCCAAAGTTACCTCCAAACTGAACAATAAACCGCTGTTATTCATAAAATACTTTAAATAAGATCATGAAACTTTGCATACTAACTGAACTAACTATAAAGCAGTGCTTATGTTATTTACTTTTTTTAAAATATCATTATTTTCACTGTAAAAAGAAATTACCTAAACTATCGGCGCCTTGAAGCTTGATTCCTGTCGCCCCGTTAGTATCGCTTAGGCTTTTGAAGGCAGAAGTTGTGTCGCTTACGATCACAGAACACTAATACCCTTAGGCTTACGATCAGAATACACATTACGCAACAGGATGACGTAAAATTAAAATGGGAAATAACCGTAATAAAAATAAGAAGCGACTGGGTTGGCGTTAAGAAACAGGCATAAATATGATAAATCTAAAAGTATCTGACGACCTATCTACTTACAGTATTAGTGATTACAAAAATGTCGGTACATAGCATACTACGCGCGGGGAAGTGGGGGTGAAATTAGAATTTGAGCTGACTTACTATATCCCCTTAAGCGATAAAACAAAAGCGAAAATCCGGCGACAGTCAAGTTCCCGTCAAAACACACAGTTAGTAAAATAATATACGTTTCGTAGATTATAGTAATTTTAATACCACAGAGATATACTATACAAAATTACATTTCTTTTTAAGATTTAAGCAAATAAATAAACTGGGGAAAAATTAATAGAATAAAATGAATTACAGAAGATTGGGTAGTAGTAGATTAAATGATTTACGAGACAAAATAAAAAATTAAAACTTTTATTAAAAAAATATTGACTGTCGTCGTCAAAATATATTCATATTTTAACGCTTAGCCCACCGCGCGACCATGGGTGTTGCCCCGCCTCTGCGTCGAGCATCGAGCGAACGCGCTAACGCTGGTGCTACACTAACGGGAAACGTCAATGCCTATATACGCAGCAAATACTGCTTTAAGTTTAATGCGATAAAGTTACACTTGAACGCTCCACGTCAATAAACTTCAATGCCATTGGACGGCGTTAAAGTTGGCGTTAATGTTCCTTGAAGACTTTTTATATTTGTTAAAAATGGTTCTATAAATTCCCATTAGGTTCTCCTTCGCCTTACTAATTCTTCGATAGTTGTGTTAAAAGATAATAATTGGATAATTCGTCGCAAAGCATCATTTTACGCTGTACGGTTCTTAAAACTTTTCAGTCTCGGATCCCACAAACATGGCTCTATTTGCAGAATCTTAAGAAACGTAATAACTTTCCACCCACTCCATCACAGCCTCATCGTGCACAGTCAGACAAACGTAGTGTGGCCGCTTCAACGCGTTATTTCGTGCGTTAATCTCTTTGATGTATCGCTACTTGAGTTATCGTCAAACGGCAAACGGCATTGTTAATGTCGTTGTCAAATTAACGCGTTAAGTCGTGGCCACACCTACATTCAACGTCCATTAACGCGATAATTAACGGAACTTCTCGTTAGTGTGGCCCCAGCATAAGATTGTACAAAATTGATAAAATAAACAAGCTCCGTGACGCAGTGGCTTAGCGATGAGTTGCTGCGCTGGGGACCGCGGCTTTGAATCCCGCACGGAACAAGTATTTGTATGGTCTACAAATACTTGTTCCGGGTCTGGATGTTTGTCCTTGTGCAAGTTATGTTTGTAAACTGCCTCCACCATACAGGCGAAGTCCTAGTCCTAGTGTGGGGATAATGTTTATTTAAAAAAAAAAGGAAAAAAAGTCTAGAATTAATAAAATAATTATTTGATTTGTTTTATAATCAAATATGTTGAGTTTTATAAGATAATGAATTTTTCGGATTGTATTAAGTTACATAACACATATAGGTACACTATATTTAGTTTAGTTTTCTTTTTTTTTCTTATGTTTTCTCCCCCTTTGGGAGCATAAATTTTTTAGAAGTGTCACAAATAAAATTTCGTGACTCCTATAAATTAATGATAATAAAAATATAAAAATAGTGCCGTCACTGAGATCCTATGCACACCTTTAAATTGCACCATCAAAAAGGTGAGATCATAACAGTCACCTAGGTCTTATGAGCCCTTTCAAATGAGATCAAACACGATTATCCTATCTATTGGCGTCACTGAGATCCTATATCCACCTTCGTAGTCCACCATCAGAAAGGTGAGATCATAATAGTCAACTAGGTCTTTATTTGCCCTTTCAAATGAGTTCAAACACGATGGTCCTATCTAGTGGCGTCACTGAGATCTTATATCCACCTTCGTATAGCACCATCTGAAAGGTGAAATCATAATAGTCACCTAGGTCTTTATGTGCCCTTTCAAATGAGTTCAAACACGATCGTCCTATCTAGTGGCGTCAATGAGGTCCTATATCCACCTTCGGAGTCCACCATCAGCTAGGTGATATCATCATAGTCATCTAGGTCTTCATGAACCTTTTTGAAAATGAGTTGAAGAAAATACGATGGTTCTACGTCGAATTAGATCTATCAGAAAAAGAACTGTTAGAATCTATTTCTTGCTCAATTGAGGTGGCCAACGTGAAACGACTCAACCGCAGAAAGCAGGGGGATGGAGAATCTGGCTGGACTGAAAGTGAATCGGTACGAGTTGGTTTCATAGGGTCTACATTACCATCGTATCTGTGCATATATGACATGCAAGTTAAGGTGGAGCCATACCTATTTCCTGTTACTCAGTGTTCGAGATGCTGGCGCTTTGGGCACACCCTTAGAATGTGTCCTTCAAAACGTATATACTGCCCCAAATGTGGAGGTAAGCATGAAAATTGCGAAACAACAATATTTAAGTGCATTAATTGTACGAAAAATCACATGGCATTGAATCGTCAGTGTCCAAAATATATAAAGGAGAAGAAGTTACGGGAAATAATGGTTGAATTTAATGTTTCATACAGGAAGGCTATGGCAGTTTATGTACCGCCCGAAACACCTACTTATGTACCAACTCTATCGCCAATGCCCCGTTTAGGTAATTTAAATAAGATGCCTCAATTACCGGAACCTATCCCAGGAACCACAAATAAGTTTTTTAGCTCTATTTTGCCGGTTCAGGACAATTCTACACCAGTTACTTACGC